AGAAACTATGCAAAGCAAGTGCCCTAACACTTAAAAACTTAAGAAGGTCAGAGAATTTGGTGTTCACTTTGTAACCCTATTTTCTTCATTGTTTGTGCACTCTTAAACCACAATGTCCATGGAATTGTTAATAAAAAAGGTTGTTTTGGATGCTGCTTCACATTCAGCACACTGGATACTAAGGACTGATGAACAAACAGAGAGGTTCACTTTAAAGATATTATTCCTGTTGTACCTGAATTAAAGGACAGTTAAAAGGATTTGCCAGGACTTCAGTTTGTCTGAAAACTGTATCTCAGGACTGTTCTGTTTCCTGCTCGCAATATTTGCTATTCAAATCACAGAATACATAGACTACAGCCTTGATGGACTTCTCATGTCTGATTGATTTAGTTTTGCATAGAATAGAAAAAATATATATGCACAAGATACAAATGCTAAACTAAAAAAAAAGAGCAAACAAAAAGCAGTGATTGAACTGACTGTTTTGAATATTAGAATTTTTCTTCTTGCCATAAATAGTAGTTAAAAACACTGTTGCAACATACACCAAGTGTTGTAAATAAAAGTAAAGTTCTCTTGGTGCTTCCAACTGTAGCTTCAAAGTAGGTTTTACAGTTTGAAATTAAACGTGAAAAATAAATATAAAAAATAGCTGTAGGCTATCTTCAGAAAAATCGTCTTACAGGGTGGGACCACAGTAACAACTGCATTGTCTTTTGTCACCCAATTAATTTATTAATTATACTTTAATAGATGTTTGTAAAAAGTAATGGTCAGTTTTCAGAATGTCAGCTTGGCTTTAAACTATTCCTTATTTCTACAGATGTCGATACTATGGATCTAGATGTCATGACAGAATGCAGTTCAGTATTTTTTCCAGTTGGTCTTTTAGCAGTCAAACAATATATCCAGCTGTTTTTACGGTTTCACGGTATCTGTTTATGCCTTTAAGGGGTTTCATCATGACAAATATCCCTCCATCCATTTCCTAACCACTTCTTCCAGTTCAGGGTGATGGTGGAGCAGTGGGAACAAGGCAGGGTACACCCTGGACAGGATGCCAGCCCATCGCAGGGCAGACGGACACAAATCCACACACACTCACTCACAACTATGGCCAATTAACCTGCAATTATGTCTTGAGACTGCAGGAGGACACCAAAGAAACCCAAGCTAACACAGGGAGAACATTCACTCCACAGAGATAGCACCCCAGATCTGAAATTGAACCCAGGGCCCCAATATTGCGATGCAGCAATGCTAACTACTGTGCCAACGTGTTGTCTATCATGACAGTTATGTAAAAAAAATTTAAGTATAAGTTTTTCATCTTTTTCCTGTGGCTAAAGATGGACCTTTAGGAAGTTATTAATATAAAACGTTCTTCTGCTTGTAAATACATCTCAACATCACCAGCTCTATAGAAAACAATTTTGATTACTGAGGTTTAGTGTTAATGGCTTTTTAATTCTTCAGATTTTTTTCTTTGGAGAAGCAGCAGCATGATGTTTGTCATTAGGCTGTTTTGTTTCTTTATTATCACGCAAATGTATTCTTTTAAACAGTTGTTAATGCTTCCTGTTATTAATCAGATATTGCTAGTCTCAGGAATTATTTCCACCCCTGCACAGCTCAGTTATGGTCTAAGTGATATAGATCTGGAATTGGTTTTCGTTATAGAGGTATTAGCTCTATGATATGCTTTCCTCTTTCACTTTTGTACAGTATATTCAAGGGCAATCGCTTGCCTGGAGGTGGACTCCATTAAGGTCACTCTTTCTGATCCCCACCAGCACTTGGCAGTGTCACTTGTGTTATTTTTGATTTGCAGTGTATTATTAGAGACAAAGAACTCACTGGTCGGCTTGATTGCCTACAAAGCAGTCTGTGACAATTGCACCAGGGTAGACCCATATCTTTTACTGTGAGTCTGTGGTCTATTTTCTTAATCACACTCTGAGTCATTATTCAAGTCCTCAGCAGAGCTGATTGCTGTTCTGCTTCTTCATGAGCAAGATTCTTTCACGTTTGGTTCATTAATCAGATAAGCAATAGAAGGTGCACTGTCAACTGTACCCATTCCTGAGTTCTTATCCAATTCTGAGTACAGTTGTAGAATAGTTTTCTTAAGTAGTCACAGTACATTACTGGACAGCTAAGCAAATAATGTTTGCTTGATCACAGAAATGACTTCTGTAGCAAAAGATGGTAACCTTTATATATCACTGCTTTCATGCTGTTAAATCTGTGTGGCATATATTTTTAGCACAATCTAAGCTTCTTATTTATTTTATTTCATTTTGCGAAGGTTTGGTTTAAGGAATTGTTTAGAAGATAAAATAACCGTTGTAGTCATGTGAGCCTTGTTTTATTTACATGTTTCCATTGTTAGTTGGTGTCATTTTGGAAGTGTAATGCCAGCTAGATTAGGCATTCTGCATAGCAGGGCATAAACTGGAGACATGGTGGCACGTTGGAAAGTGTATCTAAAGATAACGTCTTCAGCTCTATGTGTGAGAGAGCATTTCTGCTTTTTCGTCCTTCTATAATAACCTACAAAAGTGTTCATACCCTTTCTGAACGGCACCTAAGTTATATTTATTCAGCATGAAAATAGATTTATATAATATTAGCATGTATAAATACAACTTCCATCAGAAGTATACTATATGTATACATTTATATTGATTAAATATATTCATTACCTTGCAATCAATATTTTGTCAATCATCCTTGTACTTTTGATAGTCATGAGGAAGCACTTTCTGTAGCCTTTTCTGATTCTGAAGAGTCTGAAACTTCGGACAGGGAAAAATAGAGACCGTCTTCAAATCCACCGGGGTGTGGCCCGCACTCAACTCAAATCATAAATGTTTAATCAGAAATTGTAATGAACAATCGATAACACTGATATTTATGCTGTCTTAAGCATTTTGTCAGTTTGATGCAGGCTTTATATTGTTATCCTATTGTAAAGCCTGTTTCCAGAGTCAGCCAACCCTTAAGAAGTACAAATTCACTACTGTTCTTCACAGAAAGGGCAACATTCTTTTTCAGTGTGAGTTTCATAATTCTGTGCTAGTCATTCTTCTGGTGAGACTGTCCAAAAGCACAGTCTGTTTCATCCAACTGCTTCACTTGACCCCGTTTAGACTTAGGAGTCAATTAGTTGCTAATGAATGCTGCAACATTTGATGAATGCCCGTATCATGTTTTCTAAGTCAACATGGGTTACTCTAGAGTTCTAACTCGGTTCCCTCTTTCAGTTTCAGTTCTAAAATAAAATCATTTTTCATCCATTTAAAAATAGCATTTTTTTAATTTTTTAATTTGTTCTTCTGTAACTTTCAGTGACATGATTTTGGATGACACATATAGTTACAACACTACTATTGATTGAGCAAGTAAGTTTGAGTTGTGATTTTAATTGATTTCATATTAGATAGAAAACAGTGTACAGATTAGTTTTGCTATAATTGCAATATATCAGAATAATCTAGAACAACAGCGTATCCATTCCTTAATTTTTGATTTTCTAATTTAAAAATAGTTTGGAGTATTACTATTGGAGATAGTTATTTTTAGATTCACAGTGCATCTCTTGTTAAGTATATACATAGTATTACTATGTAGTATTAGTTTGGAGTATATTACTATGTGGGGGAAACAAATCCTGAAAAGTCTGAAAATTGATTTACCCCACTAGTTTTTGTGGAGGCAGCTCTTAAAACTGTGCTACAGTCATTTAAGAGTAGATAAATCAACCATGTAATGCTTAATTAAAACATTTTGGTAATATTTTAATATATTTCCTAAGAGCATCTGGTCAACTAAATTTATCTATAGTATGTAAAAATCAAATCAATGACTTAAAACCACACACACATAGGTTTGTCAAACCTATGTTACAAAAATGCTGTTGTGCAGTAGAGAAAAAGAAAATCATTTATTTCCAGTAAAGCCAGATTGCTGTCTAGATCAGTGCCTTGAGCAGGGCAGGAATATTTCCGACATCATTTGGCAAAGACGGGGAAAGGGGATGAATGAATTTTCCACAGTCCCACCCAGTGGTGATTGATTGGCTCACAGCTGTGCGGCTGTACATTATATAGAGCAGTAGTGAAAACAGGAGAGTTCAATTTTATCTGCTCAGATCATCCTTCCAGTTGTAACTCGTCATGGCAACTTTTGTTTCGGTGAGTTTCTTCGTATGAATCCATTTTTAAAGCAGTTATTTTTATGTCAGTTGTTAACTGACTGGACTTGTTGTACAGTAGCACCTTCTTCAAACAGTACGTGGAAGTTAACTTTTGGGTTTTAGAATCCTGTTCGATTTGTTTGTTTCATTCCTCTTTCAAAAACGTTTGCTAGGTTGTTGTTAATCACAGAATATAATATATCATCTCATCACTACACATTAATCAATGTGCTGATTGTCCACTGTACAGTAATTAATGAACTGTTGACAGTATAACTTAGTTTAACGTTCATGTTTACACTTACAATATTAATTTCCAACTAAATCATAACTTGTGCTTTAATGGGATGATATACATTTCATAAGAATTCCTGAAATGTAATAGTTTCTTCTTTCTTGGATAAAGACATAAATGTATAGACAAATGATTTAAAAAGCATGGTATTGCTGTGTTAAACCAATTATTCCTGTTCCATACATATATTTAAAAACACGTAATTAGATTTTGCTTTGACATCATCTTCACAAGTTCAGACTGATGGCCGCCATTGTGTCTACATTTTAATGTTAATTGAGTTGTCAGCTGTGGTTGAGAAAAAGTTGTTGCATAATTCAGTGTACAATAATCCTGTATTATTTTTAGTTGGTCACCTGTTACAACTGCAACAAGACCTCAAGACAGGGTGGTGTGAGCAGAGACTTCTTGACGGGCTTTTCCAAGAACCTCAACACTCCGCGTAGTGCGACTAGACAGAAGACACCTGGTCTCACTCCACAGTCGGCTAGCAAAGCCTCTACACCACTCCCCAAGTCTGCTTCAAAAGGCAAAAGCCCAGCTGGTACCCCAAGGTAATATTGCTTGTGTTTGGAAGGAATAAGGATTTGGAAGAGTACTGCTTTCCGTAATGCACTTGCACAGAAGAGAAAGAGTGGCTGAGAAATATTTTGTTGTGTGCAGTATGTTCATCCTGTAGGATGCTTCCTAAATCAGGAATTTGACCTGGACCTTAGTGTATTAGTGCAAAGGTGCTTATTATGAAGACATCTGGTTATACAGACAGAAGTGGGATAATAACCACTCCTTTCCTTGAATTTCCCTTTTGTGACTGTAACATGCTGGAGTCACATAAACCTCATGGAGTGAAATGTCTCTTCGCAGGTCAGCGTCCTCAGCCCCTGCCAGCTCCTCTTCCTCCAAATCGGCCAGTGCGAAGAAGTTTGCCTTTTCGAACCTCAAGAGACTGCTAGTCCTTGAAGAGAATGAGAAGAATAAAAAAGGCGGTCTACAGGACTTCCTTTCTTCGCTTTGAGCAATGCGAAGCAGAACCATGACAAGAATTTTGGGAAGTGCAGGAAGCTTTTTCCACAATAATATTTTAACACTTAAATGTCTTTTCAATTGTAGAGATCACAACGGACTTTTACAGAATTGTATTTTTGACACATCTTTTCTTTTTTTTTAAAAAAAAAAACAATAGTTGGTCCTATGAAGATGCTCCTTTGTGGACTTTGAATGTACTGGCTATAATGATGTTTTAACATAAATTCTTGCTTGCATGTGAAATAAAATGACCAAAGACTTTTCGCCTTTTTCTGATTTCAGTATTTTTATTCTTGTATAGTAAACTCTTATGAAGACTTTATATATAATTGACATAATGTTGTATTTTAGTCCACTCAATTTGAAGTGGACTTACAGTATATAGATCAGCCTTAATCAGCTTTTTTAACAGTACATTAACTTTACAACAGATCAAGACTATATTATGATTTGCTGGGTTGTAAAAATTTAAGTTATTTCATTTTTCACTTCTCTGAAATTGTACAGCTCTTATTCTCAAATCAGTTGTTTTTTTAAAAAAAAAAGATTTTCAGTGTTATATAGTTTGCAGTTATATTGTTACAGCCACAGGTGACTAGGAAGTTGTGGGTAAATGAAGTGTCAATCAGCAGTCCAGAAACACACCATAAAAGATCCGATCCAGAAAAAAAAAGGGTATAAAGAAGAGAAAGAAGGTCAGACCACAAGAGAAGAGTTGGAACGAGAGCCCCTACTTCATGATCATCCAGACAAAACTGGATTAGAACTAAGTAGTTGAAGCTTGCTATTCTGTATTTGAGGGAACTTGGGCTTCCTGATTCATGAATACCTCTGTTAAACAGAGCCTTTCCTGTTTGGGGCTGCATTTTTAGAATACAGAGATAGGCTCCCATTTATTTTGTGGCATCTGGGTTTGCAGAGAGAGCTAATTCACAGCAGAATGTATTGCATTTCATTTAGATGGCAGCATATCTCTGGCCTCTGTAGGCCTTTTTTAAGAGTCGAAAAAGTGGTAGCAGTCTGGGGTTTTCTGGGTGATTGGGATCACCTCGTCTGGAACACCTATGGAATGCCTTGTACTGTATGTGAACTTATAAATACAGAAATGTGTGTGTTGTATTTATGTCGTGTGTAGTGTTTGTTACTATTGTTAATAAATATTTGTTGAACCACGTTTGTCTGGTTTACTACTTTTTTCACCAAAGCTGTGCCTCTGCCTCTGTGAGAAAGAATTCACGTGCCTCTAACTATACCAACCACTCAGGTATATTTTGGCAGAAGTTATTAACAAGTTGGGGGTTTTGAATATCTATTTTACCTATTGACTAATCCTGTCAGTCAGTTCCTGATTTTTTTCTACTTTTGGTTTATTTTGTCCAGACCCAATTAAAAAACATTAAATATTTATGTGTGTCATCGACAAGTTATGCAACTTTAATTTATCCTGTCGGCTGCTATTTTCCCTTATATTTAGTTTTAAATTAGTCTTTTCACATTCCTTTAATGACATACTAGGCTTTAAGGACCAATATAAATCGATACACATTTGTCTTATCATATTTGTGAGAATACCTTTTTATGTCTATTGTTTCATATTCTGTCTACCCAAATTAAACTATAAAGCAGGCTGAAAACCTTTTGGCACTTATATATAAAAGAAGATGCAACTTACACCAAAAAAAAAAACCAAATATTTGCACTGTGGGGATGCCTCCCCCTGTTCATCAGGGCATGCCTGTCTTTGTAGGAACATTTTTTAAGTATCGTCCCCACAGGCAGTTAGAATGCAACAAAAAACAGCTCATGTAATGGATCTGAAAACCTGCCTGCCCTTTCAAATCATAATCCACATGAGGACATGCTTTCATGACATTTTCCTGCGGACAAAAGAAATGTCCTTGCTTGCACGCACAGTATGCGTTATTTGGCATCATTTTATGCATCTTGGGTTGAGCACCACTGCTGGCTTTTTCCATCAAGTATTGATTAGCAATCAGGATGAATTTACAGTATATGGCAAATACAGTAGTCATTTCATTTCAGTCTCCTTGAGCATTTCAGACTTGTTTTAAAGAGGCATCCATTCATCTGAATGCTTCACCCAATTCAGCGTCGGGGAGGGAGCTGTACTCTATCTAGCAGAAGGGTGCAAAGCAGGGTACACCCTGGATGGGACACCAGTCCATTGCAGGGCAGGCTCACAAACCAAAACACTCACACTGGGTCAGTTTTCCCCAGAAATCAATTCCTACCTACCAGTATGCTTTTGAGCTGTGGTAGGAAATGGGAGCTCATATTGAAACGCATGCAAAACTGGGCAGAACATACAAACTCCATGCAGACAGCACCCCAGGTTTGGAATTGAACCCAGGGCACCATTTATTGTTTTAAATGTTTTTTCTATACATTTATATAAATTTAGGTTAACAGATTTAAGGCTAAATTCAGTCTTGCTTGAAAGTAAATTGTTCATCATCGTCTTCAAGAAATTGATGTTTAAGAGAACAAATGTGCATAAGGGCCATATTAATGTGGGACAGTATTTGTTTTCCAGAAGCTAACGCTAAGATATTTTATATATCTGTGTGTGGTGGATAATACTTTACTATATAGCACAGACATAAAATGATTTTCAGTGTCCAGAGCATCTGGGTATTTTAAGATTGCTTAAAACTAATCACTATACAGTACAGTATATGCATAAACAATACATTTAAGGCTTCAAATATTCTGCTCTCCTTTTCTGTTTCTACAAATGTTCATCTTTAAAATATATCTGCTTTATCACACTTATATTAAATTAAATATTAAATTTTTCAACTGAAGCCTGCTTGGATACTGCCTGACATGTTTTTTCTCTTATTTTTAAATAATTATTAAGGTCTGTGGTTGCCAGGCTGCACATAATGCAGCAATTTTGTGGCTGAAAGCAGAAAAGGCCCTTTCAAGCCCTGGAATAGTACTACAGCTGAATAAAAGTTCCTAACAGGAAGTCAAGATGAATAAATAGAAGTTACTAAGAGGTTGTCAATTTGACAGCAACAAAATGCTCTCAAGAAACTACTCTGAGCAAGAAATATTTACTAATTTGACAGAGGTTAAGGCATCATCAGAAGCCACTGTGGCAAAGCAATTATAATAGAAGTCTAAGAGTTTTGACAGCAGTAAAACACATCAGATTGTGGTTCTTCATCTACCATTTCCCGACTCTATTAAAGTAATTATATTAAGAATTCCGATGTACGTGTACATATGGCAATAAACTACTCTTCTCTCTCTATTCATGTTTTGGTATGCCTCAAACAATGCGCCCCTCTTTTGATAATGCTGCTGAGTAATAAACGGTGATCAGTGGATATTACACGATGACATACTGTACGTGATCTTTTATAAAGGAAGCTCAAGAGCTGAATTTGAGATTTCACTTGTACTGATTAGAGTTCCCTGTGTGCAGTTCTTCTTGTCCTACAGAGGGCGCTTGATTTCATCCGGAAAGTCAACAGAACAGGAAGTATAGTGTTTCCTTGCGAGTCTCCTTTAGTTACCGTAGAGTGCAGCGTGGTTTCGTGGAGCTTATTATGAGCAATTTCTAGTACTGTAAATGTAAGATCGGCTTCGGTGAAGTTTATTATAATGTCCAAAAGAAAGCGATCCAGAGATGAAGACAGTGAAGTGCATCAGAGACTGAAAGAGGAAACAAAACATCTGGAGAAATACACGAAAAAGAAAACGAAAGAGCACAACCAAGAAGTCAAAAAACTGAAACATGTTGAGACTTTGTAAGCTCACACGTTGCGCTTTTCAATCGCTTGCAAAAAATACAACCGAGACAGCCAAGATCTGCATACAGTCGTGTTAATGATGCAAGATTTTAGAAACACACAATGTGCAATGTCAATTTTGTATTCGATCATAAACATATATTACAGTACGTGATACATTGTCTGTGCACTGGAGCTCAGCTTTTATTTGTATGACATAAATATTGAAAACTGTAATACTTTTACTAATATGTTTAAGAGCTTTTATATATAGTGTTTGGATGTGTGTCGTCAGAGTAGGTGACGGTAATAACTTGAATACACTGAAACTGCAATTATCAACTGTTTTTGTTGTACTTTTTTACAGTTATGAGAAACCCCCTCCTGGGCTGATCAAGGTTGGTAGTCCAGTTATAAAAAGTAGCTCTGCATACTGTTCACAATGTATCCTTATTGATGGTGGCACCATTCATGAGAATACCCCATAGTAATGTCACCCTTTCTTCCTGCTCTGGCCCATGTTAATGGATTTAAACATATTCTGTATGAATTGCATGACGATGGAGCACTGATTAAAGTTTTTTTTCCAATAGAAAACAAAGGCACTTCCATATGCACGTCTCTATTGAATTTAAGGTGAAGGCGCATAGTCAGTATGGCTTTTCTTAGCTCGTCAGTTTTTTTTAAATTCTATTCATATCGAAACATATTGAAGAGTGGTTTTGTAGGAGGAGGAAGACAAGCCCGAGGACTGTATTCCTGATGCTCCTGGGAATGAAGATGCTCGGGACTTCCTGGCCCACGCACCTACCAGGGGACTCTGGATGCCTCTTGGAAGAGAGGTGAAAGTCATGCAGTGTGAGTAGAAGCAAAACGAGCCACTGGTAGACCTAGTGAGCAAAATCAGGTCTCTAAACATAGAGGCTCTGTGGGTATATCTGGATGCAGGGGTGGAGCACCGGTCCATTGAAATCTAGGTTTATGTGGAACTGCTATAATCAGACTATAATGTTAGTGAATATAGCATTATCTTCTCCAGAGATACAAAGAAGAAGGCAATGCAGCCTGAATATAACAAATATTCAACTAATGTGCAAGTGTTGGGAAAGAACAATGTTTTAATAATAGTAATAATTGCTTACACTTATATAGCACTCTTCTGGACACTCCACTTAAAGTGCTTTACAGGTAATGGGGATCCCCTCCACCATCACCAATGTGCAGCCCCACCTGGATGATGCGATGGCCGCCATAGTGCTCCAGAACACTCACCACACATCAGCTATCAGTGGGGAGGAAAGCAGAGTAATGAAGCCAGTTCATAGATGGGGCATATTAGGAGGCCATGATTGGTAGGGGCCAATGGGAAATTTGGCCTGGACGCCAGGGTTACACCCCTACTCTTTTCGAGAAACACCCTGGGATTTTTAATGACCACAGAGAGTCAGGACCTCAGTTTTACATCTCATCCGAAAGACGGTGCCTGTTTACAGTATAGTGTCCCCGTCACTATACTGGGGCATTAGGACCCACATAGACCACAGGGTGAGAGCCCCCTGCTGGCCCCACTAACACCTCCTCCAGTAGCAACCTTAGTTTTTCCCAGGAGGTCTCTCATCCAGGTACTGACCAGGCTCGCACCTGCTGAGCTTCAGTGGGTTGCCCATTGTGAGTTGCAGGGTGATATGGCTGCTGGTTTTAATACTCCTATTACTACTACTACTACTACTAATAATAACAACAACTGCAACTATAAAATATGTAACAATAAGATATGTGATACCTTTCCAAACTCAAGGATGCTGTACATAATGTACATAAAGTACAATAACACCAAACAATATAAGCTGTAAGACAGACAAGAATAGGCCTTAATTAAAAGGTGAGTTTTACGTTTTTGTCAGGACATCTGTAGCTTTGCGTTTTCCCTCCTGGGAAGATCATCGGATGGACAATTTACAAATGGCAACTGTATTTTCCTTCTTGACTATACACTCATCCAAACATAGGTGTATTTTTACAAGTGTGTATCACTGGTACTTAAGCAGTGAGTGTACCCATTTATCTCTGGACAGTTTTGTTTTTTTGGTCTTGGTGTAGGCTGTCCTTAAATACTTGCTGTCACCAGTCCTTTAACACACCAGACAGAGAGATGTCTCACTCTGGTTGTCTGGGTGTTATGATGATGTGCATAGATGTTTTGGTTTAGAGTCGCTTTTACCTGGCTACTCTAGTAAAAGCTAGGGGCTTGTAAAGTGGCTATTCTGTCACTTTACAAACCTGTTACAGGCACAGTAGGTTTCTCTCGGTCACGGTGCGGTGGCTCTGTGGTTAAGGAGCTGCGTCTGTGGCTGGAAGGTTGCCGGTTTGTATCCCGTGGCCAACAGAGGAATCCTACTCTGAGCAAGGCCCTTAACCCCAGCTGCTCCAGGGGCGCCGTATAAATGGCTGACCCTGCGCTCTGACCCCAAGCTTCTCTCTCCCTGTCTGTGTGTCTCGTGGAGAGCAAGCTGGGGTATGTAAAAAGACAAATTCCTAAGGCAAGAAATTGTATTTTTGGAAACATGCATCCCTAGCATCCAAGAATAGACAGGAAGGTTTAAACAAGATGCTTCCTCACCACATAACACATCTGTTTACTCCTGTATTAATTGTATTCTAATAAGCTTTAAGCAGTACATTCTCTTATTTCAAACAAACAATGGCATTCATTATTTTTCTAATGACTTTTTTCCACACAGTATGGTGGTATGCATGAAGTTCATCTCAAGTGCCTGCTTCTTGTTTTTTGGGGAACTAGAAAGCTCTTTTATTTAATGCAGAATTCTTAAATGTTTTAGTTTGATCTTTTGGATTTCTGAAGTAGCTGGTTATATGGTTTTTGCCTTTAATGTGCATTTGTAACATTCTTCCAGGAGATGTTGGGCAAAGCGACGACAGTTTGTGGCAGGGGCACGCACTTGGCTAAACAAGCTAAAAATGTGCTTTCCTGTTGTAAAACATCATAGCATACGCCCTGATTAAATGAATGATAAGCAGAACACTAAAGCTATTATACTGATTGTGAATTCCCAAGACATTAGAATGGAGTTATGATCCTTCATCCTTTATCAATTGGACATAGTTGTGCCAGAAAAGACTACACTATCAAAAATAAATGGGTTTGCTTCTGCATTTGAAATCTTGTACTTTTTTATTGGACAGCTTTAGGTGAGCGTTACTGTGGCTTCTGTCATCACAGAAATGCTTTTTTTTCTTTATCTTTCAACACAGTTCAGCACATCTCTGCAATTGTGGACATCCTAGCTGGCACTGTTGTAGTGAACAGGGCTATAAAACACCTCCCACGACCACTTAATTAAAAGTTAAACGTTATGCAACATGATTTGAAAGTGAAATTTATATGATGACATTGTGCTGACTTCATTTCTAGTCTGTCTTAAATAGATGCTGTATGTCCTTTTGGCGTTGTGGAGGTGTTTGTTCATGAGGTACAGTAGCTCATCACTATAGGAATAGCATTTGTACATTCCAAAAATCTGTTGTATAAAGACTGTCAGGATAGTTTTTTGTAATTGGGTCTGTGCAGGTTATGGTTTTTCCTTCTGGTGCTGTGTCCTGGAATTCTGGAAATACAGTGTCAGTGATTAGTTAAAACATGCTGTGTTTTTTTTTAATGTTTGACATTTGTAGGTGTTCCACGTGTTTGCATAATAAATGTACTTACCAAATGTAGACCATGATCCTTTAGTTAAAGGTGCATGAAAAGCATTTTGGTGAAGAAGACGATGTAAAACTAGAAATTTATGCCAACCAGCTCCATAGGCCTTTCAGTAAATAATAAATGAAATTGATCCTTTGATGTGCTTTCGAATGTTTTCTGTTTTCTTTTACTTAACGGCTGTGGTGATTAATACTGTGTTCTTGCTTCCATAGGTTGGAGATGCAAACGTTACGGTCACAGGACAGGAGATAAGGAATGTCCATTTTTTATCAAAGGCAATCAAAAGCTGGAGCAGTTCAGAGTTGTAAGTCTCATTTAACTTTTTTTTTTCTGGTTGTGCCGTTCAAATGTGTATTATCCAGTTTAACTGTCTTGCTTTATAAACCCTCTCTCGGCTCTACTTTGTTTCGTGAAATGAGTCTTTGCTTGCTGCTTGTGATATTGGTGATTGCTGGCCGTGTTTTGTTTCAAGAATTGAAGCATTAACTTTGATGACCAGCATGAATCTTCTGGACCAACAAGAATCTCTTGTCTTTGTTTATCTATTTTCTTTTATTCCAATCCAGTGCATCCTAAATATCTGAATACTCCTTCATCATTTACATTCTATGCATGAACTTTCTGAACTTCCATTGCACTTCAGATTCACTTCTGTGCTTTTCCCAGTTTTTAGAGATTTGATTTGATTCTTACCTGCAGCTATTTTGTTTTACTTCTAAGATTGCTACTGCTACTCTTGCTGTTTATTCCTTAATGTGACTCAAGAATTGCTCTTTTCTACTCTTTTTTTCTTAATTTCATATTTCCATATTTATATATTTAATCTAATTTATCTGTTAAGCCTTAACAAATGTATTTTGGGGGGTATTTTCGTATTTGGAACTTTTAATGCAAAGAGGGTTAGGCAATTGAAATGATTTGAGGAATCATTTACATCATACATGAATCAAAGGTGACCTTTAATGGGATTTCCTTGAGAGAGAGTTTAATCCTAAAATAGGTCTGCCCCAGGGAGCAAAGATATGACTAGATTTTCTAATTAATCTGACAAAAAATAAAGGCTTTTTTTAAATCTTTCAGGCACATGAAGACCCAATGTATGACCTAATTAGAGAAAACAGACGTCACGAAAAGGAAATGAGGTATCAGGTTTTATTCTGGCAGTATTTTGTGTTTATAGCACATATGCACCACTTTGTCCTTTTTATTTAGGATAAAGAGAGAAGAGTTCCCCGCAAACATGTTTACATTGGTTTGCAAGGTAAATATAAGAAAACTGGTAATAAAACAATTACCATGCCATTTTGCTAGTCTGTGCATGCTATGAATTTTAACCTTGCAAGGATATAGGTTGTCTGCAATTTGTTCCCCTTCATAACTGTGTGGGTTTAATAATTTAAAAATATAATGGGCTTGGGATGTGAGTGGCTTATTTGGCTTTGTTTGGAGTCCATATAATGGCTTAATTGCCTGACTTCATGCAGAATCTGAAGCCACCATCAGCACTGTAACAGAATCGGTTTCCTCAGAGAGACAGCAGAAACAGTTATGGTTCCTTGAGCCTCAGCACTTTCCGTGCTCAGTGAATGACTGTTACATGATACCTCAAGTATATAACCAAGAAGGAAGAAGAAAGGGAAAAAATACAGATTATCTCGTGATTACTATGGGGCACTGTGCAAAGCATACAGTACAGTATGTGGGAAAGGAAAACCTAATGAGGTTTAATGGGATGACAGGAAACAACATGGTCCCAGTAGAGGGTGTTGAAAAAGCAAGTATTTTGTACTTCATGGAACATTTTATTTATTGATAAGTGGCGTTTTGTTATTCTTTGGGAACAATATTGAAAGTCTTTACAAGGGTTTTCTCGGTACATTAATTAATACCATGATTTCACAAAACTGATGATGAAACTAAGGATTTCAAATAAATGAAACGGATTTCATTACCGAGCGCATAGTGTTCATTGCTATTTTATATTTTATGTATTATTGATGGCTCACTGTGTCATAATTTATCTTCAGACAGATTTACAGTCAGAGTTCAGGCATTTAGAAGAGCACTCTCATTTCTTTTGAAGTATAGATTATGCTTTTAAGAATGTGCTCATCTTCAAGTCAGTTGAAGTAAGACAGTTGGGATTTGGAACAGTTTTGCCCTACTTTTTAGAATCGGCAGAAAACCAGCGTTCATCTTGGCCACTTGAAAACACTTAACTTTGGTTGGCTCCTAAGAACTCCCATATGTTATATTCCCAGTGGCAATGTGGAGATGCCATTGAAAACTGAAAGTGTTGTTATTGTGTTCTTTTTGCCACTGTTCCTTTTAGTTGGAAAAATAAAAATACTTTTTTTGTTTTACTAACTTTTTATTACAATACTAACAGCCTTATTACAGAGAAAACCCTAACTGTTATGTAGTTTAACTAGTTGAAGCGTTTTTGATATTCTTCAACACTGAGGTAGACAACGAATTAAGTGTCGTCCATTTTTCTCTTAAGTGTGTGTGGTTCCATGTCACCGTTTGCTTTTGAAAACGCCGCTGTTTCTCATTGCATAGCCTGGACCACCACTGCTGCTGTGCCCCCCGCCTCACTGTTGACCCCTGTGACCTCTGTTTCCAGGATACAGCAGCTCCAGCAGCTGCTGGAAGACACGACCTCCGACTCGGAGAGCAGCAGTTCCACCTCCTCACACTCCGACGGGGGCAAGAAGAAGAAGAGGAAAGGGGACAAGAAGAGGAAGAAGGAGAAGAAAAAGAAGAAGAGGAAAAGAAAGCACAAGTCCGCGCGATTGAGCAATGGTTCTGGATCGGACTGAGAGCTGAGACAGCTCTAAAAAAAGAAAATGAAAGCCTGGATCTCGAGGCTTGTGCTTCTGGGATCTTTCAGCTCTCCCTCAGAAGAAATGAAGCTGAAAGCATCTCTCTTGACTGACGCTATGCCTGTTTGTTCCAGCGGTGTCATCGGAGCACACTGAGGCGTTGAAGCTCTTTGTTCTTTATTCTCCACTGTCACAGTCAGTGAGTAATGCATGGATTTTCAGCTTTTTATTTGTCAAGGGTGACAGGATAATCAGCCATTTTCGTGGAAGGAGACACTGCAGCTCTAGATACAGGACAGGATTCCAGCAGTCAGGTTGTGTTTGAGCTCAGTTCTCTTAAGTTCTATCCCTTATTGCGCCACTGGCCATTAGCCAGGTGGTAAAACAAATACACAATGATGGGTTAAAAATGGGCTATCCCTGCAGAAACGACTGGGTGCCATTCCTGTGGTTCTTTGTGATGAAGGGATGGGTTTCGTTGTGAATATCTCAGTCAACAGCAGAGCCCTGTCCATAATGCTGCCTCTCATCTGAGTCTGTGGACTCTGCAGGAATCCGAAATATGTGAGGGGAAGGCTGTGATTATCAGCACAACCAGGTAGTTAGCGACGCACCATTGAGGTATTTAATAAAGAGCTCTTGACGGCATGTAAATATCCATCCATGCATTGCCAGAAAGCTGCTTATTTCTGTTAGCGGTTGTGGAGTCAGTCCCAGGAAACGGGGTGCAAGGTGGGACGATAGTCTGGATGGAATCCCAGGGTGCATGCAAACAATGTAGGGACACCAATTAACCCACCCAGTGTGTCTTTGAAAGATGGGAGAAGACTGGAGAAACGCCACGTCTTACTGAGGAGAACCGCTAAACTCAACACGGAAAAGGCTGGAGTTGAACACAGGACCCAAACGCTGTGCTTTAAATAAAAGTGCACTCAAAGTGGCAACCAAAAGCTGTAAGGCAAAGTTATAACCATGATGTCAATGTGCCACCCAACATGTAAATAATGTAAAATAAATCATATTCAGAAAAGATACTGAGGTAAGTTCTTTCTATAATTAATTAAAAAATAGAATTTAAATTAGGCTTAATCATTTTATTTAAAATGTATGTTTTCATAAATTTATTGACGTACTGTTTCTCTGTTGGAGAGTAAATTTTACCAGGTGCAACAGCCATACAGTTTTAATCATGGAAATTTTTTTTTTTCCTAAGTCACCGAAACCTTTAAAGATTTTTAACCATCTTTTGGCCACGTTAGGACATTTCCTATCTGATGCAAAGTAGACATGACCTCTACTCTTTGAAATATTTTGTTATATAAGTTACCATATGGCTCACACAAGAAAACAATACTTTGGAATCATATTTCCAAATGTATGGGGAGTTTAGGCACCATATTACCATATAATACCTCAGTAGATATTATTACTGTCGTATTTGAAAATTAGCATAGAAGTATTATGTGCTCAGGTGAAGTCGAATGCCAAATTGAATAAAAAATCCCAAACCAGAATAATATTGCACATGAAAACAATCATGTGATCCAACTTAATACTTGTGTCTAAGGATAAGACATTAACCTCGACAAACTGTTCAGAGGTGCTGTGTGAGAGGGTTTTGTTGAGTTTTAGAATGAAAACAAAAATTCCCTTTGATGTTATTATGTAATTTTAAGATCCTTTCTGAGAGCTGGAGTTTAACTGCAGTTTTAAGAATGCATATTTCAGTTATATTTTCTCATAAGTAATAAGCCGCAGATACCACATCAAAGAACATTTGCTGGACTCCACCCAAAATGAGATAAAGTCTATTTATAAATGCCTAGCATTGAAGAAAAAGAAGTTGATGCTGTTAGATTTTTGTGTGAGTGCTATAGAGATTTTCTTTGTGTGACATTTTGTTGAAAAAAAAAAGGAAATTCAGATTGCGTTAAGAATTGAAAGGTTTAATTTATCAGTTTTAAATGTACTTTGTAGTTAATGTGCAGGTAGAGGAACCTCTCTTGTCACTTTGTTATTCCATTGCCAAGGTTTCTATTTTGCCTATGTTTTCAAAAGCGTATGGTAAATATCTGCTGTTTGAAGGGCACCGTTTTGAACTTGTTCTTTTACCACACATATGAATCCTTTAACACAATGCTTGTTCTAAATATTCAAAGGGATCTGTTGATCTCCCACGTTAGGGTGGGAGTCAGAAGGCTGTTAATGGAATTCATTCATGTTTTCAGAAAGAAGAAGAAACAGGTTTTCACTGTTCAGGAAACATTTTTGAAAAATACTGAGAGCTGTGTCAGTTTGTTTTGCTTTGAGTGTTCACTTAAAGGGGATTTTTTCTTCTAAGACACATCAGAATTCAGAGGCATAATTGTACATTGTGCTGGCATGCCAACTGTGCTATGTTTTCAAGAAACTCTTGACCTATGAGTACTCCCATCACTTACTGAGTCAGGTATTACAGTGAGGAACACATTGCTCAATGAATCACCATTTGTTTTTCTACAGTATTCACTCAAAACACAATGTCCACCAGATGTGTTGATTTTTTTTTTAATCTATTTTCTTTATTAAGAAAGCTGGTGTGTAGCAACTAGGGAAAAAAGACATTTCTGTAGAAATGTTTCTAAGTGGTGTCCATAGAACTGAAGTCTCAGCAAAACGATGGATGTAAAATAACCACAAGATAATAACTGTGAGAAAAACCACAGTATTTCTCTTTGGATAAGATATCAGCATTTCATTTTTAGTGACAAGGTACCTCAGAGTATTCATAGAATTCCGATAGCAGCTTGTGATTTTTCCTGTTGGAAATATACATGCATCCTAGTATTTCTTATCCACTGTTGCAATTCAAATGCCTGAATTTTAGAAAAAATAGGTCTTGCGATCTCTGTATGAAAAAGGATAGTCAATAACAAAAGAAACGTTTTGAAAGAACAGCCTTTTTATGAAATTGATTTCAAGTGTTCTCATTGCTATGAGAGGACCTTATCCTCTGTGGCACAGCGTGGTGGTGTAGTAGATAACTTTCCTGCCTCACAACACTGGGGCCCCAGGTTCAATGCCTGACCTGGGGTGCCATCTGTGTGGAGTTTGTATGTTCTCCCAGTGTTTGCATGGATTTTCTCCAAATGCTCTGGTTTCCTAGCACAGTCCAGAGACCTACTAGTAAGTTAACTGGCTTCCAGGGAAAATGACCCTGGTTTGTGTGTGTGTCTGTGTCTGTGACAGATGTTATAATTGTTGATAAAATTATGAAACATTCAGTGATAAATATGCTACTTAGGAAGTATTATATGTGTGTCTTATCCATATAAGAAGAAAAGGCCATTTTTAGTGCTGGTATGACTAAAGGCACTGAGATTCATAGAATTTCTGGGGAACTAGGAATGACATGAACGTCTACAGTACCTGTACAGTTAACTTCTCATTTGAAAACATAGCCAGTGACAAGGATTTTGGACTGTTGGTTCAAATCCTGCTTGAGGTTTTGGAACATTCTTGGTTGCTAACGTATTGATTGAGGTTCTGGGGTCTGGGTGCTGCTTTTGTAAATGGCAGCTCTCCAGGATGAAACTGTAAAGGATAATTTGTTCTCAAATGACTCACCTGGTTAAATAAAGAATTTGAAAAACTGGTGCTTGTCTGTTAGGATTTTTCTTTTCTGAGGGCAGTTCCATTACGACCTCTTTTGAGGAGTTTTTTTAACAATGTCCATTCAAATGTTTTTCTATTAATATTCTGAGGCCATTTTATTTTACTTATGGTCAACATATCCTAAAATGGTAATAAACTTTAAATTTATAAGGAGATACAAAAATGCAATAACAGACAAATTACTGGATAATTAATTTGTATTAATTTTTGTAGAATCAAACTGTATTTGAACTTTACATTTTTTTTTCTTAAAAAAATTACATATGTTGGGAGTGCTTATGCTGTGTCACCTATGGTACTTTCTTTGTCTTTAAAAAGTTCCCAGTTTGTCATGTGTAAGTGTGAGGAGTTCATTAGACAGGGTTTTTCCACATAGGTTTTCTTATTTATTATTTATTATTTTGGGGTGATCATTTTAAGTAGGAGTTGACCACGGTAACTATTTATGTTTCGATTTTTTGACCATTTCATATAAACTTTTCCGTAACCATAACAAAACTGCAGATGGAAAACTGTATTTCAATTGTGCCAATCAAAATACTAAATTTAACGTCTGGCTTGGACTTGGATGAGTCAATTGCCAACTCCGTATTTTAAACTCTCTGTGTATTTTTTTATTTGGTGGAATGCCTCTCTGTGTTTCAGCTGGATTATGATTTATGAAGCTGGAGTTGAAACTGCTGTAAAGCAGAACTGATGTACAAGGACTAATAGAACTGTCCTGGGTCACACGTATGGCAAACACATGCACAATTTAAATGGTTCTGTTGCTGGCAGCTCATATCTCAACTGAACAGGTTTTTAATGTGGCCTTGTGCACTGTGCTTATCGGTGTTATTGAGATTGATGTGTGTAGGTTGCAATGAGGTTATCACTGTGCTTTATTCCTAATTGTTGTGGTTAATAACTCATGACAGTAGAATGATAATTTGATGTGTAGTATTACCATAACAACAACATATTTTTATTTGATGGCACTCGTGTCGAATAAAAACCAAAAAAAATGAATAACAGAGCCATACTCTGTTAATTATTACAGTATATGTGTATAGAACTGTTTAGTTCACACAAAAAAAGATTGTTGAAGTTTGTGTGTTTTCTTTTTATTTGTATGAGAGTGAGGTTAAAGAGAAAAAGTTTTGGTTTTTGGTTTAGTTTTGGTTTATGCTATTATGCTGTTGTGTTTTGCTGTTCCTGTTTTTAACATAAACATGTAGCAGTCTTTACACAGATACAGGCTGTTATATGAAAGATGTGCCCTAGGCTTAAATAGATTATCGAATATATATGTGATATATATATATAAGGTGATGTATGGGTATTTGCAGCTAACAGACATATCACCCTGCAACTCAGAACTGCCAGCCCACTGAAGCTAAGCAGGTGTGAGTCTGGCCAGTACCTGGTTGAGGGACCTCCTGGGAAAAACTGAGGTTGCTGTTTGAAGAGGTGTTAGTGGGGCCAGCAGGGGACACTCACCCTGTGGTCTATGTGAGTCCTAATGCCCCAGTATAGTTACAGGGACACTGTACTGTAAAAAGGTGCCGTCCTTCGGAAGAGATGTAAAACCAAACTCCTGACGCTCTGTGGTCATTAAAAATCCCAGGGCGTTTCTCAAGGTGAGTAGGGGTATAACCCTGGCATCCTGGCAAAATTTCCCATTGGTCTTTACCAATCATGGCCTCCTAATAATCCTCATCTTTAAACTGGCTTCATCACTCTGATCTCCTCCCCACTGATAGCTGATGTGTGGTGAGCGTTCTGGGGCACTATGGCTGCCATCGCATCATCCAGGTGGGGCTGCACATTGGTGGTGGTGGAGGGGAGTCCTCATTACCTGTAAGGTGCTTTGAGTAGAGTGTCCAGAAGAGTGCTATGTAAGTGTAAGGAATTATTATTATTATTATTATTATTATTATTACCAACAGAGGTTATCATTAGGAATGGTACAGCACATCATCATGCCTGCACCGCAATGTTGTTGCTCTGCTTGGAAGATGAGAGGAGTAAGAGGCTGTTATACATCTTTCCTGCAAATAGTAATACTTCTTCTGAGAAATGTAGTTCAGTTATTGAATGACAGTTCCAAATCTTTGGAGTTGTGGGACTTTTCAATCGGAAAACATGACGTGAGATGTCAGTGATGAGGGCTGTACTGTAGAATTCTTGATTTTCATCACCATTAATGCTAGTGTGCCTATATACTGTACTGCAAATTTAAGGTCATCTGTTTTCAAGTGTCTCTTGAGAATTATTCCATAGAAATATGCCTGTTTTACAGTATATTTCAGACCTAACCTTCAAAGCTCCACTGCATGAATGATTTATCGTTGATACCATAGTACTATTAAAATGAACCAGAGTTTCTGTCCTTCATAGTAACCTACTTTATGTTCAGCAAAATTTAAGATCTGAAGTTTGATTTGGAATAAATTGTGATTTTTCAGTGACATCTAACCTTCATATTCTTGCGTAATGTGTGACAGCACCTTCCTCTTTTCTTCATTTCTTTCGTCGTGTAGACTATGCAAGTGGTAAAATGTCGTTGAAAGAACACGCACACATGAATATGTATGAAGTCAGTAGCAACCTGGATTGCAATATGTAGGTGTTTGGATGTAGGTGTAACCTACTGTACGTTGTTCGGATGTGGGAGCACCACGGTGTGTTCTTAAAAAAAAACTGATCTGCAAAGTGAGTTAGAGCTCAGGGAATAGTTCAAATTAAGTTGGAAGCCTGGGTTATAAGGAGGCTAGACAAAAACAACACTGCATGGACTATAAGAAGTGATGCGGAGTCGGTTATTAGCACTGGCGGTCTCTTAAAAAACGTTTTTTTTTTGCCTCACTTAGTTTTGTACGACTGTTCGAGCATAAGCTGCACCCCCTCCGTTTGTGTTTTTTTAACCAGGTTTAGTTTGCCCTTCCGTGTGGATGAACCTGGAAATACAGTGTAAGACGCAATATCCTTAAGATTGTTTTAACAATCGCCAATTGTGTATTTATGGGTCTGTTTGCGACTACAACAGCTGAGAACCAAATGTGCGCCCTCGCTTGGGGAATGCGGGTGTCAGTCAGTCAGCCAGCCAGGCAGGGAGATTCAGGCTCAAGCTATCGACGTCTGGATCACTTGTGGGCTCCCATGAGAGCACCCTCACCCTCACCCTGGGGACGCCCTGGGGAAGACCTGAATATAAATCATTCAGGTCTTCAAGTCTTATATTTGTGAACTTATATTTCAGTTCTTGCTAAATTAAATTATATATCACGTTTCAAAACGTTCATACACTTTTGTGCATTGTCATCAAACCTTTGGTCATACATTAACGTGTCGTAATGTTAAAGAGAAATGGGATATCGGGGGGTGGGAGGGCGTTGATACGTATTGTTTTTACACTCATTCGTTTTTTTAAAATAAAATATGGTATTAAAAGCGTTTATCGCCGTCGAAAATGTGAAGGAGAGGTTTCGCAGCAGCCGATGAAGCCCAAATACTCCTAAATCATTCCCTTTGGTTTGTGTAACACTAGACGGTCAATGGGCTGTTCCTCTTAGTGTCTTCAATATCAGTCTTCCTCAGTGGCTTTTGCGATCGACTCTATAAAGACAACGAATAAAACGATTTTTTGCCGACCCATTTTAACTGTACTATTATCTTTACATTCACTAATCTTTTAATTACACCAATTTTAAAACTTGCCGGAATAAAAGTCTTACTGCTTTTAGAAAATCGACAATGAGCTTGGTGCCAGTCACACATATTTCCCCAAAGGAGAACCAGAATTTATCTGTGGGAGGAACTTCATCAGATAAATAAACGGAAAAACACGCCTCTTTCCGTGGTATAAACAAAGACGTCCAAGGTATTGTATCGCAAGATAATTGTATTTGGGTAACACTGAAGTTGGATATAATACATTAAAAAAAAACATTTCGCCTCGAACCCTTCTAGGCATGTTGGGAAACAGCGCAGTTAAAATGAATGGCCAAGCTGAGGAGCCGCAATGACAAATGAATAATGTTAAGAGGCTGCAATTTAAAACCAAGAAATACAATACCTGCAAAAACTGAAATCAATCGGCGGAGGGGGGGTATTATGCGGTGTTCTGAATCTGAACACGTTTTAAAGTTTTGGACAGACACGCTTCGTTTGGCACCAGTCTGGTATCAGAATACAAATGCACCAAAACGATGGCATTAAGATACGACTTCAAAGGGATTTAATTCATCGCGACGCTCTTTAAAGTGGCAGCAGTACGGACGACAAAGTTCGCAGTACTGGCAAAATTGCAATGTAACTGGACCACATTACAAGAAGGGACACTAGATTATTCAATTGTCAGCGCTCGTTGCAATGTAATTGGTCAATGTCCCTCACGTCGTTACTCGGAGGACTCTAACCAGCCAGAGGAGGAGGAAAGAGGAAGTGAAAACATCAGCAGAAGCTGCAGAAGCCGAGGAGAGGGCGAGCGATATAAACTCCGGACATCATCTCTACAATCGTGAAGCCGTCGGCTTGTTTAAACAGGTTAGTGGCCGTAAATGTTACTCATTCACAAAAGTGCCAGCTATTTGCGGGACGAAGCGCACGCACATGCCCTTTCACAGTTGATGTTTTCATTCTGTTGGGAGGGGGGTTGCGGTATGTGATTTACATAAAAATGTTTGTTTCGAAACTGTACTTGTTAGTGTGTATCAGAGTACAGTAATTATTTCTTTTATAGCGGACCGCAGCGAAATGCGCGCACAGCGTGCCGCAAAGATGTATTATTTCACTTGTGTACCTGGCAGAATTATTCCTCTTATATAGTCCACGCACAACATTTGTTCAGGACAGTGTGCCTTGCCGATACCCTTTTAAACTATGCAGACATATTGCATTACGAGCAATTTTATCTTTAGTTACTCGATTTGAGTCAACTCCTAAGTACTTGCTTAGAGTTTCCAGGATGAGCACTTAGGTGATTTGGCGGAGATTGAGTTGAAGTAATCACCAAATAGGACAGTTTACTGCCGGGACAGAAATGTGACTTTTCGCGTGTATCGGGCGCAATGGGTTGGTTTGGCGTGACTGAGCCTCAATAAGAGACCGTGTTATTTAACAAATACCTTCATAAAGAATTATTACTGAAGTATGAATGCGTTTTAGAATTAGCCTGCTGACTTTTGTGTTTATTTTTCTTAAATGAATGAGTGAAAAAAGAAGTACGTCACGTTCAAAACGCGTATTGTAGAGGCAAACGTACAGCACAAAAGTTCACATTGTATTGTATTATAATACTTGCACACGAATGCTTCAAACAAATATGTTACTAAAATGCCACGGATTTGTAAAGAATGTTTTTAATCGGACTCGTAATCGCTGGTGGAATTACAGTGTTTTAGTACCGGTGAACATTAACGTGATTATAGGCATCAAGCCTTGCCTTAATTAAAGGCTTCTTTCTTCAAACATGAGCTAGGAAATTAAAATAAATAAAGAGGTGGTTTCATTCATCTAGTTTGCGTTAGACTTTAATATGTGCTTTTCAGTTTGCACTTTACTTTCTATCCATCCTACTAAAGTGTTGGATAACTTGAGGATGCTTTCTGTCTGGCAGTACTGTAGAAAGTAAACTGGACAGTATTGGATTACAATATATAAAGTCTTTATTATATTTACGTACCGCTTTATAGTAGTAGCATTTCCCAACGTCAAAATGACTTGCTCATTGCGTGTTGTTTCGCTTACCTGCGTGTGCTTAAAACAGCAATAAACCCATATCTTTGCATGTTCCATGATGTATGGTCCAATGTGTTTATTCCATAGAAAGCAACATTTTACACCCCGGTCTCGTTCAAGTTGTAAATGCTTTGTGAAGGAATGAAACCTCAAACCATTGTACATACCTAAAAAATTTTAAATGTATTTTTAGAATCCAAAAGGCCTTTCAGTGTACCATTCTTGAGTGTTTTTAATATCTGTTTAATGATACCCTTAGTATAAAATTGTAATTGTCCTCAGACGTGTAATTTGATGCTGCTCCATTTTGAGGTTCCAGCGTATTGTATTAAAGAGAGGGAGACAGGATCGTTCCCTGCCCAGACAGTAATAAGTAACTAGGCAGTGACAGCCCATTCATTTCAGAGCTTCTCCCATTGTGAAACTGGTGTGGCCAGGAGCCATGGCGACCACACTGGCCTTCCTCAGAGAAGGGCGTGGGAGTTGTAGTAGTCGAAGGAAGAGGAGTATTGAGTGTGAAGGCAGTTGGACTTCTTATTTTCAGTGCTCAAAAATCAAGAAGTCCCCAGAATCTTCTGTCCTGGGGAAATAAAAGACCATTTTTCTTGAAGATGCACATAGAAGAAAACCCTTTGGCCCAACTTCATACGTCTGTGGGGCACCTACTGTAGCATCGCACTACGCATTTAAAAGGCATAATGTGGAACGAAAACTCGAGCACAATTTCAAAGGATACCTACGAAAACTTTGAAATAAGCTGTTGTATACACATAATGCAAGAGCCCTTTTACATTTATGTCACGCATTCTAAAAATGTTTTGGGAGATTTGGAACATTGTGAACGATATGCTAGGGCTTATAACTAGGCCAAGCAGTGACCCAGGTTGAAAAACAAATTTCTCATCTTTTCCTGTCCCTGGTTTGTTCTCATCCGCAGTGTTTGTTTGTTCCAGGCTTGAAAATGTTTTTCTTAATTGCAGTTGAAAATGAGATCTGATAGTGAGCTTTGCCTCTGATTAGATGAGTATCACTTTGATTATTAAGCTTTGCCAAATATCAGGCTTGAAGCTGCTTTTGCTTCAAACTGTGCACAGATGTGAGGCTGACAGTGTGGGAGCTGAGAGGCATTTCATAAGCGTTACAGAGTTGTCATGCCTCCTCTGAAGTGGTTGAAAGATTAAAAGTAAACTTTTATGGGGTTTTTTCACTTCAATTACCCCATCATGAGGTCAAAGATGGCTTCTCTTTGAGTACAATATCGAAGCCTTGTGATGCTTACTATTGCAAAATGATTAATATTTCTATGGAATACTAAAAAATGAAGTTCTTTTGGATGGTGTTCATCTCCTAGGCACTACATTTAGTTGTACACGTAGAGTTACATGCTGTAGTAGCTGAGTCATTTGTGCATGTGAAATCAATATTACAAAATACTTATGTTCTTAACGTTGTCTAAATTATAAACTAAATTCTGTACTCCTTTTTCTTATTTATAACTTCTTGGCTCTCTTTTGCCATTTGGACAGCTAGATGCGGCAATAAAGGTTTAGGTACCTTAGCATTTAATGAAGCCTTTCAGCTACGTGTGAATGTGATGTTCATAATTGAATATGCTGGAAATCCAGAGATGCTTAAAAAAACCCTTTTCAGAGTCTATAGAAGCACACCTGAAAATCTCTGGCAGGGTGGTGATGCTCTCAAAATTATACAATTCACATGAGGGAAAATGAATTCGTCGGTGAGGGCAATGCATAATTTTCTTTTGATGGTGTGAATCTTTTTTTCTGTTATTAATCATTAGATTTGGAATACATTAACGTAAAACTTCCAACACCTCCTTTTCGTGAAAGTAATATGAATTCTGAAAGAGATTTCGTAGAGTATCATTACACCCTGACGTCTTGGTAGCCATTTTGGTTTACTGCCATTGTTCTTGTCACCTGCGGCTGAACATTCTGTACTGCTTCCAGAGATGCAGTGGTACTCTTGACTTTGAAACAAAACCTCAAGGATGTTGTCCTTTTTAGCGTTTTTGTTTGGTATGAAAATCATTGAAGTCCTTGTGGTTGTTTTTTCTAATAACAGTTACAGAACTAATGATTTTTAATGTGGACAATTTCAAATTAGTTACAGTATGTTATTGATTTAATCGCCAGAAGTTAACTGAACGACAGTTTTGACTTACATATGACCTGAAAGGAGATACGCTTGCAGATGGAACAAAGTAAAGGATGCATTTGAGGCGAATGTTCTTTTGCACTTCAGTATCTAGTGCTGTTTTTTTATTGGTGTTTTTTATGCAGACTTTGAGAGGCACACTTTCCTGTGAAGTCTCTTAAGGGATTGAATAAATCTACTATGGTGGGCATTATCTTAAAGAAATTGTGTATGGCTAATAAAGTGATCTTATCTGATCTTAAAAGATTAAGATGAAGATTTGTTTTCATCACCCTAAATTTGGAACGTTCTTTGTCACTCTTGACATTACATTTGTTGAATTCATACAGTGCTACTCAGACTTTCAGCTTCTGCACTAAATTTGTGCATAATGATGAGAAAGGTGTGGTGGTGCATTTGTAACCATTGCTACCTCACAGTGCAGAGGCCCAGTGGTTCAATTTCAAGGGTACTATCTGCTTGGAGTTTCTATGTTCTCTCTGTATTTGAGTGGGTTTCCTCCCACAGTCCATACTGGTAGGTTCATTGGCTTCAGGGAAAAACTGTCCCTCGTGTGAGTGTGTGCCTATCTGTATTTTTTTGTCTTTGTGCCTGTCCTGCGATGGACTGGTGTCCCATCCAGGGTGTATTTTGTCTTGCGCATTTTGCTTGTCAGGATGGGCTCGAGCTCCCCCCCCGGCCCAGAAAAAATGGATGGGTGAATCTACTTCATAGAAACAGAATGTGTAGATTGTGTGGTACACAGCTTCTGTTCTGGTATTTGCTTTGCCTAAGCTCTTACCTGCCTGATTGAATTCTCTCAGCCAGACAAGTATAACGTTCTTTCACAGGTCCTGAGGAATTGTAGAGAACAGTACATGCTGTAAGACCTGCTGGGAGATATTCAACCAAAGCACTACAAGTGCAAATGAATGTTTTCAGTAACCAGACTGATGAGCTGTCTCACTGGGTGTGTTCAAGAGAGAAAATAACTGACTGGGAACATAGAAGTTGTTGCTACGGGGAGGTCATTAGGTTTTATTAGAAAGATGTTCAAAAAGGTGTTTAAATTATTTATTAAGGAAATGATGAAAGCCAAACTCTGGCCCGTCCTGCAGGTATTCTTCTACACTGAGAGACGCTGCTTAGAGAATGTCTTTCCTGACATTCATGCTCATGGAATAAACTCTAAATTCTCACTCTGACTCCCCCTGATGGACAGGGCAAGACTGTGTTGCAGCCTGGGTTGGGCCAGAGTCTGTAGCCCCTCACAAGATGGGGGATGATAAGATGAAGGACATGACAGTGCGATCAAATAACACAGTAGAACACAGATGAAATGACAATTAAAATGCAGTGGGAAATCCAAATACCACCATACAATGCAATAAATGGTTATTACAAAGGAAGACAGGTGGGTATAAATGTGTGCCGTCTATTCTGGTCCTCACAAGAGGTCTAAAGATGGCGGAGCAGTGGCACTGTGGCTAAGGATCTACGCTTGTGGCTGGAAGGTTGCCGGTTCAAATCCCGTTGCCGGCAGAGGAATCCTACTCCACTGGGCCCCTGAGCAAGGCCCTTAACCCCAGCTGCTCCTGGGGTGCCGCATAAATGGCTGATCCCGTGCTCTGACCCCAAGCTTCTCTCTC